TTGAAATAGGAGTGCGAGGTCTATTACTGCCGTTCTCTTGCCGATCGATCTTGTTATCTAGTAGTGTACCCACTTATCAATTAGTAAATTTTCAATAAACAAGCTTTTGCAAATACGAAAACAATTACAACTTCATGGCTTTCTTTTTTTACACACCCGGAGGTGTTGAATTAGGTGGTGTTGGCACTGAAACAACCCGCCAGCCCCTCTCCGATCGGCTATTCTCCGCAAACTTAAGGCTTCCTTGATGCAATCCCTTCTCCTTCTCCTCCTCGTTCCACTCTGAACCATAGTAAAATTCCTCATTAAATTTACTTTCATCCTTAGGAGGAGGCAAAAACATGCTTCCCCATTGCGGGAAATGCACAAGTGTTACAGGAAGTGTACATGTCACGATCATAATCCCCATTAAAGATAACCCTGTCGCAGTTGAATATTTCGAGCTTGTAAAGAACAATAGCTGTGTTAATCCTGAACCGAAATTCCCACCAGCCCCTGTCAGGCCGGAGATTACACCAAGGGATCGCCTGGAAATGAAAGGGATGATGCCAAAGGTTGCGCCACACGCAGCCTGGGTGCCGATTGAAAACAGGATCATTGACGTTATGGACAGTGGAAGTGTGTTTGTCCGGCCGAGGCAAATGCAGAAGATGCCGCCAGCAGTCTGGAGAATCCACAGGTTCCATAGCCGGCCCCTCATGCCAAATCTTCTTGCGGCTATGTCCGACATGAGCCCCCCGAAGGGTCGAGATACTATGTTTGCCATGCCGAATGTTGCTGCAATTGTGCAGGCCGTGTGCAGCTTGAGATTAAACCTGGAAAATGGAAGAAGTTAAGAAAAATAGTTTTCAGTTGGGAGTTTCTACAATTTGAGACAATATGAGATTTGTATATTAAACCTGTCGAAAAAGTACTCTGCGATGACATTGTCTGTCGTCAATTCTACACCCAACGACATACCATACAGAAGAACAAAGATCCATGTTCTGTAGTTTGTTATGGCATACCAAAGAACCTGAAGAAGAAATATATATTCAATTATATTGTTAGACGTTTTTGTTTAATTCTTGAAATTTTTTTGATTAAAAAGTTTGATAGTTCAATAATTTCCTTTCTAAGGATAAGGAGTTACAAATCTTGTTATCAGTCACTCAACTTAGGGTCCAGTTCTAATTTGGTCACTCAGTCAGTCCATCATATTCGTATGGTCCCAAATAACGAAAACACTGCGTTGGCAGATAGAAAGAGGATGTGGTTTAAAAATGACGTCAGTTGACGAGATGATATTGAATTGATGATCAACTTGAAATAAATTAAAAACAGGATAACAATTTTTAAATAAAAAAGATAGATGATCAAATCAAAACGACACCTTAATTTCGGCTTTTTTTTAACCCTTAAAGGATGTGTGTGCATGATGTTAAAATGTGAATTTTTCTGATTATAAATTTAATAAGAAAGTGACCTTGGAAAATTGATCTTTTGGAACATCTCCTTTCTTCTGTAACGTACTGAGGTTTCCATCAGGAAGATCTTGGCCCAGACCTAAAACCAAGAGCCCCATAACCACATGTAGCCATCCAGGGATGAAAAATGCAATTCTCCACGCCGTGAATGGTGTAGCTCCGGCCCGGCGTATCAACTCATAGAGGACTGGCATAAGAAGTTGGGTGGCTCCGCCGCCCATGTTTCCCCACCCTGCTGCAGTGCCATTCACAAGCCCTATAATCTTGCCATTGAACATAGTGCTCATCCAATACTGGCAAGAGACAAATGTTGCCAGAGAGAATCCAATCATGAACCGTACGACGATGTAACCTCCGGGTGACGATACAAACGGCATGCAAAAAACTGTCGGGGCCGACAGCATAATAAGAAATGCACAAGCATATCTTGGTCCTAACAGATCACAGGCTGCGCCCATAACAAGCCTGGAGAAAATGCTGCCGGAAACTGAGGCGATGCCAGCATTTCCTATATCAGTTTTCGTCAAGTTAAGATTGTCCCTGATAATCGGAACAAGGGGTGCAGCTGCAAAAGTGGAGACAAAACAGGTGAAAAATGAAATCCAAGAGAGATGGAAAGTTCGCATGTGTGGATTAGCAAAAGAGAAGATTTTGAAAACTTTGGATTTGTGCTCTGAATCAACTGGTAAGTCAAATTTTGCTGTTGAATCAGTGGGAATTGTTGGATCAGAAGCCACAGAAAAAGCAAATGTTTGTTCTTTGCCTGTGACTCCATGCATGGAGCTTCCTGGAGAGTTTTCTTCGCCTGCCATAATTGCTCAATTTGGTTCTCTCCAGGGTTTTCTTGGAGACGTGGAAGGCCATTTTATATATATAACCCCTGTTTCGCCTCCATTATTTAGTAATATAATTTTTGGAATAATGTTTTTTGAGAGAATGAGTGATTGAAAAAGAACAAATTTTTTCGATTTACGTATAATATTATTTTATTGAAGAATGTGTGGTTAAAAAGAAGAGAGAAAAATATATTATAATTTTCATGGGGACCAAATATCTTTGATTTCTGATCTTTCCTTTAGAAGAATTGGAATTGTTAACGTTGTGAATATCAACCTATATGTTTAAAATATATTTGATTAGTAAGTTCTTAATGTAAATTGTAAGTCATATGGCCATTAGGTGAATGCCATTTAATTTTAAATTTAACTTTCGTCTTCAATTCGAAGTACCAAAACGTATACAACCATTTAGAGAGGACGAGATTTTAAATTTAAATTTAATTGTCACTTTTATTTTTAAAAAAATCTAGCATCATACCTTTGTTCTAAAAACTAATTAAGTCCCTATTTATTTTTCATTCTTTCAAAAATCTTTTTTTCTATATACTTATTTTTAACCACACATTCACATGATAAAATATTCTACACGTAAATCCAAAATTTTTACTTACTATTATATACCCCTTGAACAACTTAATTAAACTTTTATGAAGTGTTCATCAATTGGTGAGTTAATGAAAGTTGGTGAGTTCCATAAAATGTACGGTGAAGAAATGAATAATAATTGTGATCTAATGAATATGTGGTTAAAATAAATTATGACAATCTTTTTAATAAACAAAAGCTATACCAAACAAGCACTTATTTATATAGTTAGACACAACCTTTATGAGAATAACAAGGAAAAATTACTCAATCAATCATCTCTTTTAAGCAAAACAAATATTTGAGATGTCTACCTGTTTTATGTGCTTGTTTTGTTTCGGATGCAGTTAATTTGGTACATCAATCCCTTGTTCGACGTTGAAGAAAGATAAAGACATAAAGTATATTAAACTCATATTTACATACCCTTTCGAATGGCTTAAGAGTTCTTTAATATATAATTTTTTTCTCAATACAGCATAGAGTCGAGAATTATTGGTCTATTTGTCTGGACTTGAAGTGAACTTATCTCATTAATTGAATCATTGCCGAATGAATTTTCATTTTTCTTATAATATTTTTGTTTTTGTAGACATGCTCGAACGTATTTTTGAGTGTTTATGGATATATTTTTGCACGTGGACGTGAATGTAGTATTTGCGTATGAGGGAAGTGATATGGCTGTATAAGAAAAATGTAGAAATTTAATTATAAATTTTCTTGAAAACGTACCAATATAGAATAGATTTTTACACAGTGTCTAGTCTAAGTGAATTGGAAATTTGTCTTGTTATGTATGTCGGTTTTCATTGGACAGGTTCTCTAATGCAGTTGGGCCAGCAATTATCTCGAAATGAATTTCTCAATGTTTTAGGGTATGTTCTTAGCAGTTTTCTATTTATTTATTGTACGTAGTTTATGTAAGAAAAATATTTGTGGCTGTTTGTATGGACAAGAGAAAAGGGATACATTTTATCACATTTTTGTTCTTTTCTCGTCTAAACAGGACATCGTATACTACGTAACTGTCCCTTTAATACATTTTTGATATATCTCTATAGGTAATCAATACTTCTTTACAAATAAAAAGACATCGACACTTTTTTTTTTTTAATGAAGTTCTAATTGGAATTAATGCGAGCACAATTCCTTGCCGAGAATTTTTCCCCTCTTACTTTTGGGTCATGGAATTCAATAAGCTCCTTCATCGATGGTTATTAATTCATGTCTGATTTAACAAGATCAAAATCACAGAATTAATTTAGTTCTTTATACATATTAATATCACTTTACATAGATAAGCTAAAAAACCAAACAATTTCTCAAAATTCTATTCAGTTATTATTATTTTTCCCCCGAAATACTGATTTTCTTATTTCTTCTACACTAACTTTTTAACATAGCATGTTATATACATCATGTCACATGTTTCCACTAGCATTGCCACCACTACTTATAACATATTGCGTAAAATTGCCATTGTCATTACCGTCGCGCCGCCACCACCACCATTGGCGTCTGCCACAAACTACCACAATATCAGTTGCTAATCGACGCAAACTATCACAAGAATACCATCATTGCAACCACCTAAGCCTCTCAAATCACAAAAATGGAAAAAAACTTGTACAAGCAAACAATAAAATTCTCCGGTGGTTCAAAATCATTCAAACTTCACCTCTAGCAAAATCTCCCGTATCAAATGTGGATTCAGATCTCAACACATATCTGATTTCGAGATCCAAGTGTTTAAATCAATTGGCAATCTGAGGAGGGGGGAAGGTAGTGGTGATAGAAGGAGGTCGTGGCAGATGAAGATGGAGTAGATGATTATTGGTGGTAGAGATCTCATCACAGTGGTGTTAGATGGGGGAGGTGGTAGTCGGTAGCAACATGTGTAGAAGGAGGTGGTGGTGGTGGTGACAAATAGTGTTAGGTCTCTATTTATAATTAGCTATTCCTTAAATAAACTAAAAGTAATGGAGATGTAATGAAAGTCAAAAAGTCAATAGATTGGTATTATAGGTCTTGAAGGAGTCGAAGAACTCAAAAATATCCAAGAACATCACATAAAATTAATGGGAAGCAATTTAAAGTCAAAAGAGTGTCAAAGTGTCACACAAGTCATACTCCAAATTCTCAGTCACAAGTTGCGATGCATTTTTTGCAGAAAACATTTGAATTTGAAATATTCTATTTCAAAAAGAATTGTAGTTCATTGCCTTAGCCTTCAAACACATTTTTAATCGCTTGAATAAGATATAAGATGAGATGGATATGATGAAAATACTGATAATTGCTCAAAGAGAGCTCCCTGATATCCTCTAGGCGCTCGGCACCCAAAATAAAACACTGGTCGCTAGCTAAGGTCTAGCCTAGCACTCGAGCGGCCTTGTTATGTACCCTATCCCTAGATCGCTACTTTTTGCCTATTTACAATTCTAAACAACCTCAAGCACTTTATATTATAGATACCCAAGCAATATTTCGTTCCAAACTATCTCTATGCAATAGATTGAGTCATTATACATTTAAGAGAACATCCTACATAGATTAAACTACAATTTCAGGGCTTTTATTTAAAAAGCCTAGTCAAACAAACTATTTATTTAAATACCCAACAACAACCTTTTTTTTAGCTAGAATGCCTAAACATACTAAAAAATGAAAAATTAATTTGTAAA